GGAGTGGGATGCCAGCTCAAAGCTGCTAAAATGATCATAACATTATAATAGATTTATGCATTTCGAAATAATTTTTTCAAATGAAAACTCTCATCTTCCTCTACAAAATAACACAATTTGATCAGTAACTTTGTATAAGTTTGTTGTAGATATTATCGATTCATAGAGAGGGATCGAAACTTTCGAACCATCCTTTAGTTATCAAATTCTACGGAATTTAAACCTAGCAAGAGAATCTGTAGTGCTTACCATTATAAACGAAAAAAAAGTCTTTCAATTGACTTTCGGTGCTGGCTTGGCTTAAAAGTTGAGCCTACCCTAGGCCAAGACCGCTCCGCCGCCCATGGACCATGTTTATTTTCTATTTATTTTTGCTGTCATAAATCCTCAACAGTGGTAAATCATAGCTGATTTCCAAGCAATGGGCGCTTTGAAAAACTTCAAATCAAGTTTTTGCCCTCTAGAGATTTGAGATTACGTCGTAAAAAAAAATATAAAAAAATGTTGTAGAGAACTATTTGCAAATAGTCGTAGCAGAAAATAAACTTGGTCAAATAATTTTGTCAGTCACTGTAGTTATGATTCTTTTTTTTTATTGAAATTATCAATCATTTATATTTTACATGATCATATCCATAATCATCAAATAATTGTCTCTGTTCAGAATCGGATAGAATTGCATAAGCTTGATTAATTAATTTAAATTTTTCTTCAATTTCTTTATTTCCAACATTTCGATCCGGATGAAATTCTTTAGCTTTTAATAGATATGCTTGTTTAATATCGATATTTGATGCAATTCGACTTACACCTAATATTCCATATAAATCAGGACCAATATCTAATGAATATGTTGGTTTTCTAAAATATATTGTTTGTAAAAAACAAACTAGATGAAAATTTTCCAAAATATATACTTTGTTTCTTGTGTTCGTTGTCGATTAAAAGTTTGTGATGTATGTCTTTGATCAAAATTTTTATTAGTAAAAAAATATGGATTTCGTTTTTTAAAATCTAACCATTCATGAATATCACGTTTACCACGATAGAGATGAGAATAATCACGAACATATCGTCCTATTACTAAAGCACTTAATGTAACAAAAGGAAGAGTTAATCCAGTTGCAAGTAAAGCAACTGGTATTGCAATAAAACGTCGTGTTATTGCATAAAAAATAAATGAAATAATTGAAACAAATGACATAATACATGCAGGATAGACAATTCCTAGAATTAATGCAGTTACCTAAATTAAATAAAAATAAATTAGACTGTGTTTTCTATTTACAATTCATTTTACTTTTAATCGAGAAAATTGTCTCAATCCAGCTACTTTTCCTGTTCGACCATTAATTAAACATTGTAATTGTTTATTTCTATATTGATAATCAACAATATAAACAGGAAAATAGATTAATTCTTGTATTTCATTATCCGTACCAAAATGAATTGAAGTTATACGATATTCATCTTTTTTTTCTCGTGTTAATTTTTTTATACAAAGATTTTGTATTATATTAACTATAGTTAAATCCCAACCTATTTCAAAAGCTGTATCTCGATCAATTGTCCATTCTTCAATAATATCATGATTTAACAACAAAACATCAATTGGTTGTAATGTATCATTTATTTTCATATCAATTTCAAGTATATGTTGTCGATCATAAGTATGTGCAGCATAAACATTAATATTAGACAAATGAATATTTGATAGAGAAACATGATCAGCTAATTGATGCCATTCAGCACCACCCCATAACCATGAACCACGTTTTACCTAAACAAAAAAAAGAATCTTCAAATAAGTTTTTATTTTTTGTGTTCATACATAAGCTTCAGCAGATGCACTTCCTTTGAGTGAAAATGACCAACATGGTAAATAACGTCGAGTCAATGTAACTGATGTTTTTTGCCAGTCACTTGGCGCCAACCTCTTAGATGTAAAATAATACAAAAAAAAGAAGAAAAGTTATGAACAAAAAAAATTACCAAAATGATTTTTGCCATCGATTAAAATAATTGAGTGCTTTATTTTCATCAAATGAAAATGGTAGACCCATACGAACATTTGTATTTGAATCATGAATAAGAGCTCGAGGATAAACAAGAGTGAACCATCGACAAGGATGCTTAATAAATCGTTGCATAACTTTGAAATAAAATGAAAACGAAAGCTACTAGAATACTTTTGATTGGCAGTTATAAGCTCATTTCTTCTGCAAGTATTTTTTTCTATTGAAGACTAGTGACATCTTTGAGATCATAGATTCAATATAGAAATAAAGTATGTCTCTATATCACAATCTTAAGATTCAATAGGAAAAACTCTTTTACTTCTAATCCTAGGTCTACTTCCAACAAATTTGTAACACATTACATCTGCATATCTTAAAACAAGACATGTTCCAACACATAATTGATATGTCCATCATGAAAGATCTTATTCATAATATGTTACGATGTATACTGGAAATGAGGATGTAAAAGTCTGTTATGAATCAATTATATTTATGGAAAAATAGAAAAGCCATAAGAAAAAAAAAGTCAGAGAAAAAGAAAAAAAGAAAAAAAGGAAGAAGACAACAATGCATATCATTTTTTCCTTTTTCAATATGCTTTGAATGAATACACACATAATCACTGTTGAATAGAAAAAAGAAACGAGAAAACAAATTATCATTATTCATTAAACAAGTTCAGCTCTTATACATCCATGTGTAACTGTTGTATTATCAACACCATCTTTAAAACTTCTATATGTAACAAGACTATTATTAACACTTGATGGAGAATAATGATTTAATCGTACATTATCATATGGAGAAAATCGTCCTTTCTATTTAACAAAAAGAATAATACAAATTATATTTAATACAATAAGAAGAAAAAAAACTACCTTTATAGCAGCATAAGGTGAACAAGCTCTTGTTCTAATACTTGTATCCAATGCCAAATAAGAAGATATATCATCTGAAAAATATAAAAATACGAAATAGATAATATTGAAAACATATTTTAAAAAAATAATCATAATAAATTACCTTGTGGCCATAATCGACTATGATTAGGTGTAAGTCGTGTTAATGTAGCTGATGAATATGATGGTACAAATGGTCGTTTAACATCATCATCTTCATATTTTTGATATGTATTAAATGGATAAGCATTTGTTGTTGATGAATATGGACGATCAAAAAATAAATTTGATGGTATTGGTTGAAATATATCAACTGTATTAGCTTCTGTTTCATTTGTACCTGTTGTTGATGAATTATCACTTGTTATATTTGTTCGTCGACGTTTCATTATAAATAATGATATAAGTATAATATTAATTAATAATATAAATAAACCAAATACAGCAACAATAACAATAACAGTTAATGAAAATCTTGTTGATGTACCTGTATTAGTAAATGAATAAAATGGTGATGATGGTAAATAACGTGATGTTAAAGCTTTTATTTCATCTGTCCATTCACTTAAATGATATGAATTATTTGAACGTATACTTATATAATATTCACTAGCTAATTGTAAATTTTTTAAATTAAATATTTGTTCATTATATGGTACATCTTCATATGAATAACGATCATTTGTTGAAAGACGATAACGAATTTGAAATGTTTGACGTGAACCACCATCAAAACCAGGTATCCAACTAATTAATAATGATGAATGAGATATATTTGTTATATGAACTTGTGTTGGAACATCAGGTACAGCTATAGAGAAAAAAATTAATAATGAATTTTACAAAAACAAAAAAAAATAATTTACTTAATCCAGTTAATGTTATTTCAGTTATATCAAAACCTAATGTATTTTCAACTTTACATTGATATATACCATAATCAGATTTAGTTACATTATAAATATAAAGTACAGCATCAAATAAAAGTTTTGGTGAAAAAGAAGAAGGTGATAGAATTCGTTCATTAAGTACTGATCGATATTTTGATGATAATGAAAATGCTTGATTATCCTAAAAAAAAAAAACAAATACAGGAAAATTGTCTTGTAAATATTTTAGATTCTATTTTCAAATTTAACTACTAACCTTGATCCATATTACAGTTGGTTTTGGTACAGCAGATATATAACAATGAAGTTCAGCTGTAAGTAAACGATCAGAATCAGCTGCTGCTTTACTTCGACTTGTATCACTACGATCAATTTCAGGTGGATCTAAATAAAATTTATTAGTCAAACTATATAAATTATATAAAATGTTTTTTTTACATTGTACAACTAATGGTATTGTTGCACGACTATTTCCATATGGATTATCTATTTCACATGCATATTGTCCAGCATCTTCTTTACGTATAGATTTTCCAATTAATGATACTTCATTATTTTCTATACGTTTTTCCCATTGAACACCATTATTTATTAAAGATAATTCTTCATTATTTTTAAACCATCGAATATTATTTAAATCAATTGGATTAGCATCAATAACACATAAAAGTGTTACTGAAGAACCTGGCATGATTGCTTCTGATAATGAATAACCTCGTGTTCGACTTATAACAGGTCCATCTTTTAAAACAAAAACAAAAAAACATGAATTCTTTGTTTTCCGTTTTTTGTATTGTTATAAAAAAAATACATACAAAGAACATTTAAAGTAAAATTAACTTCAGTACTTCCATAGGTATTTGTAGCTATACATCGATAAATACCTAAATCATTTTTTTGTACACTTGTTAATGATAATTGTCCTTGATTAATAAATATTCTTGATTGATCAGTAAATAATTGTTTACCCGATGGATGAAACCATGTATATGTTATTGGCATTGGATAAGCACTTGCTTCAAGAGTAATATTAAATGGTTGATTTTCTTTGACATCAGCAAAGGCATCAAAATCATGAAAATTTGGTTTATCTAAAAACAAAAATAATAAAAAACAATTATTTAAGTATCAAAACAACAAAAACTTACGATTAACATTAAGTACATAAGTAACTTGTTTAGTTAATGGTGGTGTATGAATATCTAATGTTGCTTCACATGTTAATAAATTTCCATGTAAAGAAAGATCAATTCGAGGTAACTAAAAAAAAAAAAACGAAAAATGATGAGTACAATTAGAGATGAAACATCACTATGCATAGATGTAACTTCTCAATTTAATGTCATGTAAAACAAAACTAACCATAAATTTAATTGAATTAATTCCATTAGTATAAGTGCTTAGTGTATTATATGCAATATCTGAATGTTTTATTCCATCATTTGATTGTCGAATTATAGTTAATTTTGCTTGTGGATTTGATAATGAAGTTCGACATTCAAATTCACCAAGATTATCAAAACCAACAGATAAATTTGATAATATTGAACTATTAATTATTTTCATTTCAGCCGGAAGAACTATTTGATGAAATTATTTTAAATAAAAAATCTTTCAATCAACTTACAAACAACATTTAATGTAAATGAAGCAATACGTTCAGGAAAATTTGCAACTTGTCCTTTACATATTAATGGAAGATTATTATCAAATGATGAAGCAATAAATTCCACACGACTTAATGCATATTTTCCTCTTGTTTCACTTATATATTCAGAACGAATTAATTCATTACCTTAGAAGAAAAAACAAAAAAAAGATTGATATCAAAAATATTTTTTTCTCTTTATTTACCTTTAAACCAATTTATTTTTCCTAATGGATTTCCACCTGTAAGAGTACATTCAGCAATAATCGTATCACCAGCTTTAATTATTTTCTCTTTTGTTACACCATGCATTTCAATACTTGTTGCATCATCTATAAGAATTATTTGAAAAATTTTAAAGAACAAAAAAAAAAAAAACTGTCATTTTGAATTACTAACATATTATATTTAATCTTGTTGAATCAATAACAGTATGTCCAGTTTCAGGATTTCTTGCTTCACATGAAAGTATTTTTGTATGATATTCTCTTAATGCTTTATCTAAACCAATTGTTTTAACTAATTGTATAGTTTTACCAGCATATTCTCCTTGTTCTTCTAATGGATCAATATCACTACCAATTATTTGTCCATCTAATTTCCAAACAACTATTGGTCGTGGATTTGATGATGATGTTCGACATATAAATTGTCGTGTAGTTCCTTCAATTAATGTTGTTATACTCATATTTGTACCTGGTGTATTACCACGTATTTGAACTGATGATGGACCAACTAGAACAAAAATAAAATAAGAATTTTTTTTTTTTGTTTTTTTAAATTATATAAATATTCTTACAAGCAACTTGTAAAGTAATATTTTTTTGTAAACGTTGTCCTAATGAATAAAGATAAGAATTAGTAACATGACATGATAATGTTACATTATTATCCGATGGTGATATAATCATTGTTATATTATTTTCAGTTATATTTTGTTGATAAAAAACAACAAATGAATTATCAATTAAATTTAATGTTTCACTATTATTTTCTAATCTATACCATGATAATCGACCTAATGGATGACCACCACGAGATTGACATGATAATGTTAAACGTGAACCATTAATTAAATAAAATTTTGATGGATAACCAAGAATAAATGGAATACTTGGTGGTGATGTTACTTCAATATCAAATGAACTACGAAGTTTATTTGTATCATTATTTAATGTTTCATGACGTACATCACATGTAATACGATTTTTATGTAATGATAATGTTGGAGTAAGTGCAAGAGTACTTACAGTTGAAAAAAGACGACCTATTATTAAAATAAATGTTTTTTTTTTTTTATATTCACATAAATACTAAGAAATATTTAGGAATCTCTTTTAAAAAAAAAAGGAATCCGAAACTAGATATTTTCGATCAGAATTCTATTTAAATTATCTAGAACGATAGAAGAGATAATTCTCTACGTAATGAGATGTCTTCCAGCTTTTTCTAAAACATTTTTTCATTAAGATACATCAATTTTACTGAAGGCACAAAAGTCGATTTTTCTGTCATTATTACATGGAAACATTTTTGTGCCGTCAGTAATGTT